CTATGGGATAGGTAGGGTGTTGGGGGGAGGGGTGGAGGGGTGGAGGGGAGGGAGAGGGAACTGGGATTGAATGTAAAACAATCTTGTCCCTAATTTAAATAAAAAATGGAGGGGGAAAAAAAGAGTACATGTTGCTCTTACAGGACCTGGGTTTTATTCCCAGCATCCACATGGTGGCTCACAACTGTCTGTAACTCTAGTCCCAGGAGATCTGAAACCCTTTTCTGGTCTCTGTAGGCATTAGGCACACACATGTTGCACATATATATGTACAGAAAAAACACATATAAATACAAAATTAAATATAAATCTTTTTAAAAAGTTCGTGGAGATAGTTATTCTAGCTTGAAAGGAAGAGAAAATGCAAAGAATTGTCTGACTACGTTTGTAGGCCTGCATTTAGGAGGTGTGTGTGGGCTCATAAACACATACTCAAAGGCCAGAAAGTGGAGTCTTGGGTTACTAATCCCTTGTGACACATCTCCTGCTCCCACTCCACCACACCTCTGGCTTAAGTGTCACCTCTAGATCCATCATTATCTTACTTTGTTCCTCAATCTCAGCTCACGTTTTCTTCCTGTGTCTGTGTGTTGAAAAGCTGGGGTGTGGCTTAACCCAGGTAAAAATGAAAGACAGACTTGCACAAAGGACCCTCAGAAATGTTCAGGGTGAGGTGACATGTCATATAGCCACACAAGATAGGAAAACATAATTTCCTTATGACTTTATGAAGCCTTCATTATCCAAACCTCAAAGCAAGAAAATTCTGAGTCAGGCATGGTGGTGTGGACTTGTGGTCCCAACACTGGGGAGGCACAGACATGCAGATTCCTGGGGTCTGCTGGCCAGCCAGCCTAGCCTACTCTGGGCCTGGAGGAGACCTGGTATCAAAAAACAAGGTGGATAGCTCCTGGGGAATGACACCTGACCTTCATATGAATGGATAACCCCCAACACACACCTCACAAAAGAAATTCTGCCTGAAAATGTCTTACCAGGGAGATGGCTTGGCAGGTAAATGGGCTTGCTAACAAGTCTGATGACTCGAGTTCAATTCCATAGTCTGTATGATGGAAGGAAAGAACTAACTCCTGTAAATTCTCTCACCTTCACACAGACACAGACCCACACAGACACTAAATACATAACTTTTTAAAAAGGAAAATGTCTTAAGCATGTGTTCAAAGTACATGTAAAATTTTTATTATTTATGTATGTGGGTGTTTTGACTGAATGTTGTCTGTGCACCATGTGTGCCTTGTATCTGAAGAAGCCAGAAGGGGGCATCGGATGCCCTGAA